ATATATATTTATATATATTTCTATCCTTACTGTATCCTATGGATTTTTAGGTATATATATATATATATATATATATATATATATATATATATACAATTACACACACACATACACACACACACTGTACAAATCATTTCCTAGTGTTTATTGACATCATATTAGCCAGTCTTGCTTCATGGTACAGAAGTATGAACTTGTCTCCTTCCCATGTAGTTTATGGGAATATTTTACAATATTTTTCACTTCAGTTTACAACCATGAACTAAAAGTAAAACTGTTAAACAACAAGACTAAGCCACTTATGGTGGTAAATTGCAGCTCTAATATTTGTTACATGAAATCATTATTAATTATTTATATATTATTCAACAGATATGCTGTTTAAAAAGATTTTAGATTTTGTTACAATCAAGGTTGGGCATCACTTCAAAAATTCTTCCCTAGCAGAAATGTAATTTATTGAACAAAATAAGTGGTTACTTCACAAGTGTGTTAACACTCAAACTAATTAAAAACCTGCAAAATATAATTTCCAGAATAAAATTTTCTCTCTAAACCACGAAATAAAAGGTGTGATTTGAGTCTGCAATATTAAAGATGTTTTATTTTTAATTACATATTTCAGATCACACAGCCTCTAAAAGACAGGACATATTGCAAATTAAAAGTGGGTTTATATTATATTTATTTAAAGATGGAAACAGTTACAAAATATATTTAATGATATATAGTTCATTTTTGAAAAAAACTTATGATTGAAAATAAGAACACAACACATGTACTGGAAAATTAAAACTATTTAAACATAACAAGTTTTTTTTTTTCGAACAAACAAAAACTTCGCTTTATTTAAACAAATGTCAAATAAAGTAAACAATATAATTTAATTACATGTGATATGTATAACCAAAACACATTTTATGTCAGTCAGTAGGTATGTATGAATGAAGTGTTTAATTAAATAAACAAAATCTTGAAATATAACACTTAAATATATCTATTCTAAAACTCAAAACAAATACCTACTGCAAACTTTTTTCCTCTGGGCTGAGGCTTGTCAACTATCTTGGTACTCTCTGCACGAATAGCTTCAAACTTAGCTCGCAAGTTTTTAGTTGTATCTGACTCTGGTAAACCTTCATCATCTGTTACTTTAGACTCTCTTTCAACTTCAGTATCCCAGTGTTCAAATTTTGCTTTCAGACTCTTGGCCTGGTCAGCTTTCCATGTCATGTCATCTTCTACCTTGTATGTGCAACGAATAACATCTGGATCATGATCTGGCTCTGGTGAGGGTTCATGTTTTTCTACCATCTGGAGGGTTTCCCGTGGAGGAGTAATTTTCCTAACAGGCTTTGCAACACTTTGAGCAGACAATCCAGCACCCTGGTTCTCGAGCTGTTTAAACTTATCCAACATCCGTTTCGCTGTATCTGTTACCATCACTTCTTCTTGGACATCCGAAGCACGTATCACCTTTGGATCCCTAGGAACTTCATCATCATCAGGCACATACTTTGCCTGGGGTTTTGATTCCTTGTAGTTTTCAAAATACTTAAATCTCTCTTGAAGTTCTGCTGGCTCCAGCTCCACTTGTTCTTTGGCACCTGGCTCACTGCACTTAACTACTTCTCCTATTGTATAAGTAGTGTTACCTCCGATCGTTAATTCTCGAGAACGCTTCGTCTCTCCAAGAGAGGGCCTGCCAGGAAGAGGAAAAGTGGTTGTTGTGTTGACTGTATCAAACTGCTTGAAAAGAGTACGTGCTTCAGCTACACTGTCCCCTATAATCAATATGCATTATTAGTAGTCTAATTCTAAACTTAAACAAACACACACACACACCAAATTATATGCTTTATTGGAACATTTTTACAATATTACTTACATCAGTTTACTATCATAAAATACCATGAAACTGTCAGATGATCTACCAAGTTTTAGTGATACTGTAACTACATATTTCTGTTGCTTTATTATATTTGACATAAGAAAATACTGAGTTTTCCACTAAACTGGATGAACAGCTTTTTATTTCCATTAATCCTCTACTCTTTTAATTATCTGTAATCATCAAAGAGACTATTATAAATATTCTTTACAATAAACTTTGTAAAATTTCTGTAATCATATGTGATGCTTTAGTAATTAATCTTTACTTTTACTTATGAAAACCAGTTTTATTTTTTCTTATTAATTACCAAAAGTTGTGCATTTTGGTGAAATATGTTTATAAGAATATTCCTCCATTCTTAGATTACTGCACCAAGTAAAACTGATTTCAAAGAATTCAACCCTTTATCAGCAACTACTGAACAAACAAGACTAGGTCACTTTTATGGAGATGAATTGCTGTTTAAATGTATGATGCTTGTAATTTGCATTATTAGTTATATGCAATCAAAATTGATAATTTTTGAAGGTGAATTAAAATTACCGTACCAACTAACTGAATGTGAATTGAGTCAGTATCGGAGAAGAATGTCGACTATAATTCTGAATTTATTACATGCATCTACAAAAAAAAATGTGGTGAGCTTTAGTCAAATGTAAATGTCTGTTATGCACAATAAAAGTCAGATGTGTTACAAACGTATTTGTACTCAAGATATTTCTGTGAATCGGCAACATCAGTCTGACTCAGACAAGTAAGTGCAAGGTGATGTTCACCTGTAGAATCCAAATACTTTTGTCCATTGTACAGTTTGCATATTGCACTTCCATAGCCTCTAGAACCTAAGACATATGTATCTACAGTTTTTTTTCCCAAAACTGTACATATATTGTATCTGTTATTCACTCTCCTCTGCCAGGAACCTATACTAAGTCAGAAATGTATGGTAAAATATTTAGTTAATAACTCTATCCACCAATATGTAATACCATGTTGAATGGCACTCTGTAAAAAGGTCGTAGCATGCACACTTTGGCCTCCAACCATTTACACACGGTTAATTATTTTTATATTGTTCAGGATACACTGTTTAAAATGTAGTTTTTGTAACCACTACTCTTTTATATTTTGGTGAAAAACTAAGTGAGACCTAGTCTGACATTTGATTTGCCAACTTGCTTAATTACTTGTGTTGTTGTGATCCACTCTATGTCAACAATCTTCAATAAAATAAAATCAATGAACAAAATCATGCATCATGTAATAGTAAACTGCACTTTATATGATATATTAATTTTTTTACTACCAAAAACTAGATGATATATGTGTGTGTGTGTGTGTGTGTATATATATATATATATATATATATATACA